AGTGAACGGAAGACCAGATACGTGACATACTTCCCTGAGGGCCCTGAGGGTCTGGGTGCCACAGACAGGAAGTGACAGGACTCTGAGTGAACAGACGTGATCCCTGGATGATCTGGATGATCAGCTGTGATGTGACCTGATTCATGAAGATCAACTGTGACTTGATGTGACTCAGAAAGAGCAGTTGTGACTTGACTTAACTCATGAAGATCCACTGGACTTGACTTTTGAAGATCGGCCGTGACTTGACTTGACTCATGACGAACAACTGTGACTTGACTTGCCTCATGAAGATCAGCTGTGACTAGACTCGACTCAGGAAGATCAACTGTGACTAGACTCGACTCAGGAAGATCAGCTGTGACTAGACTCGAAGTGGCTAGACTAAGACTAGAACTAGAACTGGGAACTAGGATCGGGAACTAGGAATGGCTCCGTAATGCAGCTTTCGCTAGAAGAGTGATATGCGCTAAACAATACTCGGCAGTTTGAGAAGGATCTGAGTGAGTGTAATATAGTGTGTGTGTTTGATTGGTTACAGCTGGGTGCAATCAGTGCAATGGATGATGGGAAATGTAGTCCATGGTGACGTGTAACATTCAGTGTAGTGAGAGAGTCAATATGATGGACGAGTGACCTCTGGTGGCGATCGGATGGAAGTCCACGGACCGGATTCGTGACACGTTTATATCAAAGTATATATACAGTATATACATATATATAAAATGACGATCAGCTGTGACTTGACTTGACTTATGATGATCAACTGTGACTTGACTTGCCTCATGAAGATCAGCTGTGAGTTCACTTGACTCAGGATTCAGGAGGTGCAACAGTCAGTGTAGTGAGAGAGTCAATATGATGGACGAGTGACCTCTGGTGGCGATCGGATGGAAGTCCACGGACCGGATTCGTGACACGTTTATATCAAAGTATATATACAGTATATACATATATATAAAACATTGTTACTATAGTTAAACCATGGGTACCACAAAACAGCCATGGTTGTGCTACAAAAACCGTGGTTAAAACATTTTCAGCCCTGTTGCATATTTTGCATTTTTACAGAATTAGGTATACCTGAATTTAAAAAAGTGCCCTACACACAAAAATTAGAGTAAATTGATAAAAATAGTTTCTACAGAAAACCCTCTAAATTTTAACACATGGAGTATGTTTTATTGTATTTGTTCATAATTTTATGACAAACACAAACAAAAATTTTCATCAGGACATCCTTAAAACCTTTTCAGCCCTGTTGCATATTTAGCATTTTTACAGAATTAGGTATACCTGAATTTAAAAAAGTGCACATTTTTAGATTAAATTGATAAAAAATAGTTTCTATGTACAGAAAACCCTCTAAATTTTAACACATGGAGCTGTTTTATTGTATTTGTTCATAATTTTATGACAAACACAAATAAAAATGTTGCTTATAAGTTACTCACCCCTATGTTATCCAAAATGTTCTTTCTTCAGTCGCAAAGAAATTAATTTTTTTGAGGAAAACATTCCAGGATTTTTCTTCATAAAGTGTACTTTTATGGTGGCCAGCGGATTGAAGATTAAAAACAGTTTCAAATATAGCTGCAAGCAGCAATTACGGAGCCAAGCACTACAGAAGCAAAATCAGGAGTTAAGCATGGCATGTAGCATCAGACCAACTGCAGCAATAAGTAATTAAAGCCATTTTAGGATGACTGTAGTCGAAATGGTTGAAAAATCATAAATACAAACACTAAAAATATGATTTAATGGCTTATCACTTTTGACCAATAGGTGCCGCTGTTATCAAATCGATGTGGTGTGTTCTGTGTTAAGTGACAATGGCACACA